TAAATGCTCCCAGTCGTCTTATGTATTGGAAAGAAGGTAAAAAACAGTTCTCTCTGGTATACCCCGTGGTCACAACCTTGGCAGCGAGGCGGGCTTCCTCTGTCCCCCCACCCCGTTACAGTGACCCAGGTGTGTCTCGTCCCCCCCCTGTGGTCCCTCCGCGTCCACACACCGTCGGCTTTTTCCGTTATTCGAGTAGTTGCGAGCGACAGTCCCCCCCCCGAAGTATCGATTTTATGTAGAATATAACACTAGGACCGTGGTATCCCTTGAATCTTGTCCCACTTGTCTTATACATTCAATTGTGAAACTCTATATACAAAGTCACTCGGGGTATCGCTGTTACAGAATTGCTTTTATAGAAGTTTGTTAATCGATTTCTTGTCTGTAATGGAACTACTACATCAATTCGAGTTAATGTAGTTCTTGCCCTATTAGTTGTGAAACCAAAATTAATAACTATAACGGAACTATATTATGTGGAAAATTTTTCAGTAACCGATCTGTTTCTTTTATATCAGCTAATTTACATGACTCAATTGTGACCGATAGAAGAATAGGTTTTTGCTACCTTTTTCCTGTCTCTAATAGAAACAGTACGTTTTGTCAAACGATAATTAACCTTCTTACGTTTTCTGGTTTCGATACTAAAGACTTATTACTGTAAAACAACGCTACCAGGGTAGGTTTATTGCATCCCATAAAAAAGATCCCCAGTTACGACAAAACCTTGACATCTATAAGACGTACAGGTCTGCAGTAAAAACGGCGTGGGTGGTCGCAACTATACTTTCCGTGCCGTAACAGCCCGTCCTTACCACCACGTTGACCGAGACCTCTTTAGTGTTAGTAAACCGCAGAAGGTGAAATGTGTCACGGACCTATGCATCTATATGTAGAGGGTTTGAGTAATGACAAGTTTAAACCCAGACCCCTGACAGTAATCGTCGTTGGGGCACGCCAATTTCCTGTTTGACAATGTCTGTGACCAAAAATTTACAAACCACGTAATGCGACGTTCACGTCAGTTTATGACCTTTACTTACGTCACCCTCCTTTACACTTGTCCTCGTACTACAATGTTAACAAGGACAGGGTATTGTGTTCTATAGCGGTTCTACACAATTTACTTAACAAACCGAACAGTTACGGAAATGCAAGTACAGTACTTGCCTCTGTTTTTCCTTGCGTAACGATAAGACGAGTCTATCAACGTTAACCGCGGATTTACTTTGTACGACCCACAACACACTCACTCAGTAACTTCACGTACAGCAGGGTTCATGGGAATAAATAGCTTAAATTGTCGATTTCGTCCCTCCACACTCCTCTTTTTATAATACAACTGCTTCTAGCTTGTCCATTCTAATGTCATTTGTAATTTCCTTTTCATTTATTGACTGGTGGCTGTACGGTAAGTTCGGGGACTATACTCAGTCGGAAATAAAGACAATAAGTTTCTAACCATGTTCCCTGTCAGAGACCCCATAATTTTATTTAACCCATAAAAAAACAATTTATTGTTTACAAACATTAGACAACAAATGCGGTTTTTTGATATTGTTTCTACGGAGTATTAGTTCGACCACGTAGTACATGGTCCACCAATCCCTACTCCTATGTCTAAAAAGAAAATGTCATGAAACGTTAACCGAGACAAATGGCTCAGAGATCCCCTACATCATACACTATAGTAGGGCTGCTCGATTATGGCAAAAATCATAATCTCGATTATTTGGGTCAACAATTGATATCACGATTATTAAAAACGATTATCCATTTACTTTGAAAACATCCATTTATTGAAAAAAAAAAATGTGAACAGTATGTTTTTAACAGTTGATTACCCTGAACTTTAAGTATAATTCAACTGAAAAAACAAAAATAAATACAAAATAATCGTTTTATTTCGATTATGTTGTTTTCATAATCGTTGCAAGCCAAAATCGTAATTGCGATTAAAATACGATTAATTGAGCAGCCCTATCTTAGTCAAGTAAAGATTCATAATTTGAAAACACAAAAAAGGGAATTTATCGCCAACTCATTGTTCACGACATCAGATAATTACCAGTTTTGATTATTAGCTGAAATTAAATCAAAACTGTGCATGGCTTATATACGATACTTAATTACTTATACACGACAACTCATCTCTTATACTGACAATTCATTACCTGCTCTGATTCCCTGCCTTTCTTTCTCCTATCTGTGAAAATTGATTTGCAGATTAGACAGGAAGTGATAGCTTTGAATGATAATGAATCTAAAAAGAAGGTGGACTAGCTAGTGAGCCGAGTGCTCGACAGGCTCACGGACTGATGAGGACAACAACAACAACAACAACACGTATGTACACAGTGACTGTAGGACATGAAATGGTAGTGGGTGAACAATGAAGAGTTATAAACCTCTAGCTCTCTCCTTTGGTGTGGATTTGTTCTTAAATCATTCAACTGCTTTCTTTTCTTTGCCATAAAGTGATTATATAATTTGATCATGTGTGTGTGAGAGCTCTTCTCTGTACTCTCACACAGCATCTCAATTAGCCTTTTTGTCATACCGTGTCTCTTCCAGCGGTGTCCCCTGATAGAGAGGGAGGTGACAGCATTTCGGGAGATCCTGGAGGAGGAGGGCGTGATCTCCACCTGGATACTGCGTGCCCCCTCCTTGTTGTTGCTTTTAAGTGCAGCGCCGTGCAGTGACGACTTGATGGCATTGCCCACCTGATGGCAAAAAGAGAAACACAAACATTACTGCTTCAGAGGAGGCCAGACTTTTCCTGGAGGATTTCCCCGTGGCCATCTGCCAGAGGAACTGGCACACTGAGAGTACAGCAGCTGGCACAACGTGTTTTATCAAATGTTACCTGGTAATCCTGTTGATTTAGTGTCTCCATGCTACTAAAGGTCAACTTATTGTCTGTCGAGATACTTCTAAGTAACCACACACCACATGTGTGGAGCTGACATCATAACCCAAATGTACTTTTCAGTTTCAATTTCTTACCTCGCCGTCGCATTCATGTGAAATGAGTTTACAGGGTTTCAAATATAGTCTTGTAATTGCTGATTACATTCTTTTAAGGTTTTATTGGTTAGATTTGACAACGAATCAGTTTGTATTGGCCTCATGTACGATGGCTAAATCCTTGGCAGCGGCCTGTGGGTGGAATCTGACCTGTGGCCTTTTGCTGCGTGCTGTCCCCTCTCTCTGTTTGCCCTTGCCTACCCTGTGCCATAATTAAAAAGGTTAAAGGTTATTTAGAAAACATTTTTACAATGCTTACTATTAAGGGTGTACTGCAATGTTTAGAAAAACATATTTCAGTCAGCTTGCGTCAGTGAAAACCTAAATATACTAAAAAACAAAGTACAGTAGAGTCACGGTAAACAATCCCTGTGAGAGCAGCATTACCAAGAAATAAGATGCTCTGAAATCAGCCTGAGGTTAAGATCATGTGACCAAACCAATAACATCTGATCAAATATCCAATTTCCACCAGATTAAACCATAAACCTTAAACCTCAGAAAGGCTTTGTATTTCGCTGTACACAACCCCATTTAACAATTTCTATAATAACTTATTCTGTTGGTGGAAGTTATCAAGTGGCACTTGATCACGTAACAGTTGAGTAGGAAACATTACACAGGGCTTTATAAATCACCGTACAACATGTCTTTGTGTGCGAGGCTGAAACACATTGGTCTCATGAGGGGCACGTCACCGAGCTAAGCTAACGTAACACACCACGGCAACAAGTTGACACACTGGACAAAATGCTAAATATGTAATCCTTCCACACTAGGGTGAGTGTGTTACTGCTGTACAACATATCGTTTCTTTACAGTCATCGCAAAGTCAATTACCAGTACTAAATGTCCCTTGAACATGTTATTCACATTACATTTTTTACTATAAGTGCCTTTTTTGTTTAATTTGTTCCATAAAATAATGTTTTGAATCATTTCCTTTTAACATTTTCTTTAATTAAAAAGGTAGGGTAGGTAAAAATGGAGAAACCAGCTCGAGTGTGGTAGAATTTGAAAGTACGCAGAAGGGCTGAACGATCAATCGATTTTAAATCGAAATCGCGATTTTAAATGATGCGATTATCAAATCGCAAAGCCTGCGATTTTTTTTTACATTTCTTTTTTTTCTTGTGTGTCAGTCCTCCACACCAATCAGAAGTGTTGTGCTCCACATGTACCAGCCATTGTTAACCAATCAGAAGTGGCCCATGATAGAAGGTGATAGACAGATTGATCCAATCACCTGCCAAGTATTTTTGAAAGTCCCTTCCCTTTCCAAATGGCTTCCAATGGAGCTTTCCTAGATGGTTTGGTGAAACAAACCATCTGAGTCAGGTTAGTAGGGCTCCATCAAGTGTTTCACATATATTACAGCAGTGCTTCTCAAACTCTTTTCAGTAATGTACCCCCTTTGAAACATTTTCTCAGCCAAGTACCCCCTGACCGACCCCGAACATCTTTGATCGAAAAAGCCTATATAAATAATTACAATATAGTGATGTTCCCTCAGTGTGTGATTTATTAACTCCTTCGTGCATGCATTACAACAAACTAAGGATATTTTCATCTTCATGCATGAAAAAAATAACATAACGACATTTTTATAAAACTGATTTTTCCAAGGAGTTTTTAAATGTAAGTAATATGTTTAACAAACCAATCAGCTAAGCCGATCGGACACACGAGAGACTCTGACCACCACCTGTCCCTCGCCAAAACTCTAGTAGGTACCTCAATAATCACTATTAAAAAAAATAGAAACAACAATGATCTATTAATATCAAAGGGTCTTTCGTCTTTGTAACTTAATTCAAATTGTCGCAATTCGGTTAGTAATTGCGACCACAAATACGTCAGAAAGTGGAAACTATACGGGGACCGAATATGCACAAAATACAACAACACAACAGAATTCACAAACAAGACGAAATCCACGAAGTGCCTCCCACGACGCAGCACACCCCAACTCACCGTCAAATTTATTTGTCGTTGGAGAAGCACTGTTACACTCTATTTAGTAGTCGGTTAACATACACAAGGCACCCCACAAACTCTTGCTCTCGCCCTCGAACCAGGATAGAATAACTTAAAGACGGAAAAGGGGATGCTACCACGCCAGATAAAGTATGTAGGTACGTTTAAGAAAACATCCGTCATACCCTGCATTATCCAGAACTGGGATCTGTTCTGAAACCCGTGACCACAATCACCATTGTCAACATATACAAAACCCAAACAATAGGTTCAACCACAACAAATAACACAACCAACAAAAAAAAGAAGCCAAACGAAAATCAGAACACGTTTACTTATAAGTTACTATTTCGTCTATTAACCCCAAACCAATTTTTGTTTATAGGAAAATAGTGACCCATCGCATCGAAGAACTACACAGTCGAGGCTACAAAACCCTCGCACCAAGAAGCCTTCCCCCGCGCACTAACCCTGTCCCCCCACCACGCCTGCAAACCCAAAAAAAAACTCCTGCGATCCCCATATATTTACCAAATAAGATAATTTTATCATATATGCTATTTTTATAAAGTATTAAACTTTTTAATAAACTAAAGCCCTATCTACATTCACCATACTATAATGTCCTGATCATAGCAGACCCCAAAAAATAAAACACCTCAGAACACAAAAGTAAATATTCGAGCCGAGACAACACACACTTGCTCGTTAAAACCACGTACCGCATCGTTCTCTCACACGCGTGGCGCGCCCCCCCCCCCGATGCCCTTAGCAACCAACAATCGAACACCAGCGCCATCGACCTCGAGCGATTCCTTATTCCTCAAAAAAGTTGTTGTTCACCTCCTCATCAGGGTGAGGAGGACAGTCTGATTCTCTCGATTTCCTGAGGAGTCACAGATAGAGTCATCCCAGCAGTTTGCTAAAACAAGTGGTAATTCATTGTCTATAAAGGCCGTCGTGCGAAATTATACCTAGGTAATATGCAATATTTTATTATTCTCTTATTTACTTTTTGTCCATACTTGATGTACTGGAGTCATTTTTTTCTTATTTAAAATTTTCCCCACTAAACCATTTTTAGGTTTTGTTTTTATTTAGACAATTGTCAGACAATAAGTATACCACCCCCCAACTCTCTCCATAGGTATACCTAGAGAAGTAAAACGAGAAGTGTTTCACGTGGTCTCAACTACCGTAAAATGAAGTTATAAGTTTTATTTAATTACATTAACAATTCAGGGTGTGTTGGTGAGATATTTCTGTATCGTGAAATGGGGACGAATGTTGGATCATACGGCACTCGACTAAATAGCGCGGAGTAACATTGCGGTCAACACCACATGCAACACCAGCATATCGCACCCCTAACAACGACAGCCTTTTACAGGTGACATCGCGAATGTATTATCCTTTGGGACTTGTAACAAACTCGGGGAGATAACTTTAGTTTCGCATGGGTGTCGTGGGCGTTTTATTTAGAAGACTGGGAGGCGGTCAGACTCAGACAAACACAACCGCCCCGGCTAAAAAAAAAAAAGAGGTCTTCCTCCGCGCGGACTGTCTTTTCAACCCTTGTGTACTCCAATCGTATGTAGGAGTCCCCAATTTCAGAGTTCTTACATCGTTCGTCGTGTCATTATATCATCGACGGAGAAGTAACTTATCTATGGAATCGTTTCTGTATTAGACTTTCCAGTGGACAATACGTGTTGAAAAAGGGACAGACGGGAAATCTGTAGTTTGTAAACAGGGGATAACACATTCTCTCCCAGACTTTCTAAGATGCCACTTGTATTATAAGGGAGAGAACACAGGACTAAGAGTAAAGATAATTGTTCGGACAGACTTTTAGTCGACTATCAAACCGGTGAAATACTACAGTATTGCATAAAAACCGAACATCGGTTATATGATCCCTGACGTGCTAAAACCCCTTTTAGATTAACGACTAAAAAGACTGTTTATAACGCTAACTCTACAGCTAACGCTATAAACAAAAATTCGCTCTCCGCGGCTTGCTCTCAATAACATTTTACGCGATATAGAGCCGATCCTCCAGCGTAGTTGGTACCAGGGCAGAATCGTGGGGGCGTCGGGCTCGACCGCTCACTTTCTTATTTGAATGTACTTAAGGCAACCCACGAAATTTCAGTTCAAGTCAATTCACCTGGATAATACGATATAACCTTTTTTATAACCCGGTAAGATATGTTTTGACAGACACTGCAAAAAAAGGAATTTTAGGGTCTTGCAAGTAGGGTAACATCGGGTCGGAGTATAGCGACGAGTATGGGGAGAAAACGTCGGGACAATCCTTTACGCCCTAAAACCGCAGGAATCGAATTTTTTTTTTTGTTCCCTCCTGCGCCTCGATTACGGGACTATCTAAGATGGCTCTATATTTCAATTTAATAAAGACGACACTTTTGCGGTAAGGACAAAGATATTGGTGTAGCTTACAATAGACTTGTCATACTCGAGTTTACGAAAAAGAGAACGCGCCCAACTAGTGATATCGTTACAACGAAAAAATACAAAGCGACCAGAAAATTATGTGATAAGCAGCACCGAAGGGCAATCATGTCCAGCGAGACTCACAATCGCTCTACATTAGATTTGTTTCTGCTCGTAATGCAGGTTATTGTGATCCCGTAACAAAGACTACTCGTTGCAAAGACGCCCAGGGCGACGGCTGCAGTAAGCGTCGTTTAGACATAGGCAACAACATTTGGGCAAAAATTTTCCTAAACCATGCCTCCTTTTCTCTCCCAAATAAAAGACTACGACGCACTCAAAGGGCTGCGGTGGCACCCGTAGTCATAAATACATATTTCTGTAGGTGTTTCACGTAAACGCTACTATCCAGGTGACAAATTCTAAGTGGACATTATGTCACTAAGAGTTTACCCCCAGCGCCTGGGGACCCGGTGCAACCCCCATGACGTCCCCGCCCATGCACTCTAAAGCTTTTATTTCTACTTTTTTCAAATCCGTAATTTTTTATGGTCGGTACTAAGTTTTATTAGACATCATTGTATTCAATTTATCTCTTTGTGTTAAATATAAATTTTTATAGGATCTTGGTGGTTACCCCAGGATATAATTTGTACAGTTTACACACAAAACATAAATATCAAAAGTGATTATAT